TCTGGATTTTGGGGGGAGGGGGTGTCTGTTGTGATGTTTCCCGTTTCATCTCTGATTTTGTTGATTTGGTTTTGCTTTTTCTTTCTTTTGGTTAACTGGGATAAGGGTCTGTCTATCTTGTTTAGCTTTTCAGTGAACCAGCTCTTAGATTCAATGATTCTTTGCATTCTTTTCTTTTTTCTGTTTCATTAATTTCTGCTCTGATTTTTGTTAATTCTTCTCTTCTGCTAGGTTGGGGTTTCATTTGTTCTTGCCTTTCCAATGTCTTGAGTTGCAGTGTCAGGTCATTTATTTGAACTCTTTCTAATTTTTTAATGTAGGCACTTAGAGCTATAAACTTCCCTCTAAGGACTGCTTTTAAAGTGTCCCAGAGGTTCTGTTGTATTGCATTGTCCTTTTCATTGAATTCCAATAATTCTTTTCTTTCTTAATTTCTCCTTTGACCCACTCATTGTTTAGGAGTGTGTTGTTCAATTGCCACAAGTTTGTTTAGTGACTAGGGCTTTGTCTAGTGTTAATTTTGAGCTTTATTGCATTGTGGTCCAAAAGAATGCATGACATTATTTCAATTTTTTTGTATTTGTTGAGGTTTGTTTTGTGGCCCAGCATGTGGTCAATTTTTGAAAAAGTTCCATGAGGTGCTGAGTAGAAAGTGTATTCTTTGGTGCTTGGGTGGAATATTCAAAAGATTCCTGTTAGGTCCATTTGATGTATGGTATCATTTAATTCAGACAAACCTTCAAATTTTCTCTTCCCACTTTGATTTATGGTCAAGACAAAAGAGAAGGAATGGGAAGCATAGTGATGGGATGAGTTATAAATCCAAGCAGCAGTTCTTCAAACCCTTCAACCCTCGGTAGTGAATTTGCATCCCTTCAGTAGATGTCCAGATGTTTTCTGATAGAACGGATCCAGGAATATTTTAGAAACATAGCCCAAATTCTTGCCCTTGGTCTTTAGGACTCTTGAAGGCTAGTTATCTTTAATTTTCCCTTCCTTCATTTAAACACCATGAATTGAGTACATATTTCAGAGACTTGCTGGCACAGAGGATTCAGAAAAGATAAGAAATGAGATGCTGGTAGTATAACCAGAAGATTGACAAGTAACCTAATTCTTAAGAGCTGAAATAACAGCTAATATTATACAAGCTTGTGGGAAGCCACAGGACTCACTTAGACTTTGGATGTCCATTCTTTATTCCCCAACAAAAGGTGTCCACACGTTGTCACTCATAACCCTTGTAAGTGATGGGTGAGGTCTGCAAAAATGGCTTTTGAGTATGAACCAGGACCAAGCTATTCTCCTGTAGTGGCCTAGTTAAGGTGATTAAGTGGTGCAATCCAAAAGCCAGGAATTCCCAGGCAGATTTCCAGAGAGAAGAAAAATATCATCTGAGGGGAAGCAATATAGTAAGAGGCAGAGAAGAGATGCTTTGTGACTGCCGAATAAACAGTCTTGAACACTGTTGCTGAGGAAGCCAGGCAAATGCAAACACTGAGAATTTGCATGCATTCCTCATGCACAAAATTGTTAGGAAACTAAGATCATCATTTCACACCATGAAGCTCAGGGTGATGAGGTGTGAATAATAGTGACCAGGACGTCTGCTCATTTCTCTCATTCCCTCTAAAGTCATTGACTCTCATGAAAAGCCAGGGGTCACTACATGCCCTCTTAACTCCCATTGACCACTTGCATCCCTTAAAGTTTTGCTGGGGGCTGGGTTTACCACCCCCACTACTCTGCTGACCACTGCCAGAGGGGATACAAATTCAACTACAAAAAGAACAAGAAAATATAGGAACCAACTTGGAAGCGCTAGCTAAGTAAACTTTGTTTCCAAGGTCTGCCCATGGTCTAGAGTGGCGCCTGGCACATGGAATTCCTAGTACCAAATACATATTAGTTGATCAAATGACTAAGAAATGAATCAGTGATTCCCAAGCTAGCTTTTGATGCATCCTGATTGTGGCAGAGGCATCCGGATTAACATATGAAAAAAGCCAGTTAGCAGAAGACTGGAAGCCCTTGCCTACATGGGCTGCATGCAGCAAATACAGCATGCATGGGTGAAAGCAAGCCCCTCGTTCACAAACACTGCAGAAGGTGGGTGTTATGTAAATGACCTCCAAATGGTCCTGAGACTCCGGCCCAGTGCTTTTAAGAGTCAGCCTTTCTCCAGCTGACTAGCCCACTGCCATTTCCAGGAGTGTCTTTCTGTTTCTTAATAAACCAGCTCTATTGCTGTCACTATGTGTCCTTAGTACAATTTTTGTCCTGGGACACAAGAACCTGGAAATCTTAGTACATGTCCCTCCTTCCCACCTACCTGGACTCTGATCTATGCCTCTAAAATAACCAAGTCTAAGGAAACAATTTTTTCTTCTACCCACTAGGACCTCTTCTGTCAGGAACTATTTCTAGTGGCAAGGCTACATATAATTAGTCATATGACTGTCTAGTGCCTGATCTGTGTCAGGCCTGAACATTTTTGACTCTGCTTCTTTCTTTCTTTGCCCCAAATAGATTGACCAGCAGCAAGAATCCTGATGGTACTTTGTGGTCAGAAGCCCAAGTTAGTTTTCCTATTAAAAGACAAATGATAAAGGCCAACATTTCAGCCATATTTTATATACATTACATATATTAACATAAACCATTCAGTTTTCCAAATAAAATATTACTGTCCCCAAGTTTGGGGTGAAGGGACTAGGGCACCGAGAGATTAAATGTTTTTCTCAGCTATTAAGTCATTAGAGATGGGGTTCAGGCTGCTAGGCTCCCCGACTGCTGTTTGTAGCTGGAATTTGCCTGAGTCTTAGTCTCTCTCCTCCCTAAAATGGACACAATTCCTATGAGCTCTGGGTAAACCAGCACAGATATACCAGTGTTTATGGCTCAGGGTGTTCAACACAGCTGACTGTGAGGCTGCATGCTTTCAAAAAGAGCTTAATGTTCTTTTCCTTTTTCTGTGATATATTTTAATTCTGACTCTTGTAGAGTACTTCCCCGGAACATCTCAAGAGCAAGAAGTTTGCCATGTGGATTCCAAGGCCTGCTCAGGGGTGAGTCCCCATCAGTGGCCACCTCCTCAAAGCACCGTCTCAAGGCCGGTTGAGTGATTTGACCAGCAGAGCAGATTTAGCTCAAACTCCTCATCAAGCTTCCCTTTGACATTTCCTTCTCTTTCCTAAGAAATGATGGGCCCAAGAATATTAGAGCAAAGTAGGTTTCCAGCTTACCTGTTAAAAAGAATGAAAGACCAAATTTATTCAGCTTACTTTATTCAGCTGAATTCTCAAAGTTTTACACAGATTTCGTTCTGACTCCAGAATCCCCATGCTCAAACTCCAGTTTCTCTCAACTTTGACTGTAGCCAAAGTCCTTCTACCGTCTGAAGTTAGTTCAAGAACCATATGGCAGATTCTTCTGTAGCAATATGTCCAAAACCAAGCTATCTAAGTGAAATAGCACCCGAGGTTCGCACGGAGAACTGGTAGAGATCAGCACTGTCCATTCCAAAGCTGAAGCAGGAGGTCCCGAATATGACCCTTTGCAAACTGCAGCATAACTATGTCTCTTAGGTCTGCAAACTGCAGCCCCTGAGATGTTCTTCACATCCTCTCTTCTGTTTTCTTCAGCACCTACAACCCTTCATTTTCTTTCAGGAAAACCCCTCAACTCCAATTTCTTCAGTTTTCTAACATTCCAGATCAGTCATTCACTCTCTAAACTCCATTATTTGTAGCTTGACTTGACCTTCCACCTGCAGACCTCTCTCCACATCCTCTATCCTCTCTGGTCTCATTCTTCCCATCTTTCTGATCCTTTTTGCCACCACAAACAGCCACTGAAGATGACAGTATCACATTGCACTGGTCCTCATATTACACAAGAAAAGCTAGCCCTTTGTCCAAGAATAACTTCAACAGCCCCTCAGCAGCTCTGCTTCCTCTCACCATCTACCTCAAAGTTCCACATAGTCCCTCTGTGTGAAGAAGAATCTAGCACATTACTTTTTCATCCCAGGTAATGTGGATCTTCAAAACCTATAAGAGGAGAAACTGCTGAGCTGTCTTAGGTGGAGTAATGTCAAGGAACAAGTAACTTAAACATACACACGTTGAAGAAAAAGCTTTTATTTTCCTATATGGCCAGAAACAGGTGATGCCATCATCAGAAAGAGAAGGCATCCAGGCTTTTTAAATACATGGGAAGAGCCATCTGCAGAAAGTAGGACTATATCCAATGAACACTTCTGCTACTTAGCTCCAGAAAAAGTAGGATGTCTGAGAAGGACGGACCAGGCCAGGGCTTTCCTTGGGCCCTTAGGATTCTCGTTTCCTCTGAGGGCATCTCAGCATCAGGATCCAGGTCAGCAGCAGCCCCCAGAGCTGTGGCCACAGCCAGAGCCCCCGGACTGCTGACCACTGCCACGGTCACAGGAACTGGAGCTCCGGCGCCTGCATCGGTGGGACCTGCGCCTGTGGTGGCTCAGGCAGCAGCCGCCCTCAGAGCTGCCAAGGCCACTGCAACCCCCAGAGCTTGTAGCACAGCAGGAGGAGGCTGCAGGCAGACACTGTGCTGTGCTCTTCGGGGGGCACTTGGGTGAGGGGCACTTGGGAGGCGGCTGGCACTGCTTCTGGCTCTGCTGGCAGGACATCTCAGCCAGAGTTTGACCTTGAACAATACAACAGACACATTTGAGATAGAAGCTGCAGGTCATGACTTAGTTTGTCAGACACTTGCCTCTCATGACCCATCCACTATTTAAGTCAGGGTCTGTAAGAAATAAATGTGGTTCATGGAGGCACACATGCATTTGTGGCATCCTCAAGGATGTCATATGGGTCAGCATGCATCCCTGGCAATATGTTGAGTTCACACATGAGAAGGAATCCTGAGGCCCTGTGACTTGGAGGACTCACAGCTCCCTGACTTGTGCCTTCCTCCCTCACCATCACCTCCCCTACCGCTGACACTTTGGACCTCTTCTTGGCGTTCTGTTTCAGACCTGGCTTGTCTGGCCCACACACTCCCAGATGAGGATGTGATAGGTACTTACCAGATGAAGAGGAGACAGAAGATTTTCTGAGAAGGCTGTGGTTGCGGAGCCAAAGGCAGGAGCCTTTTTATGCTGTGCAGAGCTGGTGATGCATCACCCAAGCATGCTGCTGCTTTCATAAGCAAGGGAGGTGACAGCGCTACCCACTTCCCAGGTATCTGCCTCCAGTGCCTTCCTGGGCACATGCCTAAATGTCTCATAAAGTGGAATCAGGATGTGCCTGTCACTACAAAATTACTTCCATTTGGTCTTCCCCATACGCTGCCCCACCTTTGTCCATTCATTCACAAGATGTAACCTTTCTCTGTCACTTGATAACGTTAATAAAGAGATGTGTATGGCTTGTCTCTCCTCTTAGTACGTAGATGCCTAAGCAAACCATCACTCAGAAAAACAAATATGCTTTATCTGATAAGCATATCCCAGAAGTACTTACAAAGATCTCAAGCCTGAGCTCCCAACCTCAGTCAGTCCTTCATTGCATACAGATCCCAAAAGGTAATGGGGTCTTCAAGTGTCCTCTGAGTGTGGCAGCAGGGAATGGTCAGTGGCCTGTAGGGATATGGTATGTAGGACATAAGGATGGAGAGGCTCCTGAGACCAGTTACAGAGAAGGGACTTACAACTCAAGAGGTGACAAGACTTTAGACTACTATTATTAAGAATGGATCTCTGGGGCTGGAGAGATGGCTCAGCAGTTAAGAGCACTGGTTGTTCTTACAGAGGACCCAGTTTTGGTTCTCAGAACCCACATGGAAGCTAACAACCATCTGTGCCTACAGTTCCAGGGGATCCAATACCATCTTCTGACCTTTGTAGGCAGCAGGCATGAATGTGATATACATACAAACATTCAGGCAAAACACTCATGTGCATAAAATAAAAATAATTTTTGTAAAGAAAAGGAGGAGAAGAGGAGGAAGAGGAGGAAGAGGAGAAGGGTCTCCCCATTCCTCCTTACTCAAACTTTAGTATCTGGCAACCACCATTCTACATTCTGGTTCAAGGAGTACAATTAATATTTTTAGAATCCAATGTAAGTGACACCATGCAAAATTTCTCCTATGCATAGCATATTTCACTTAACAAAACGTCCTCTGGGTTCATTCATATTGCTACAATGATAGGATTACCTTCTTTTTAGGGTTGAATAGTATTCTATTGTTTATATATGCCACATATTCTTTATGCACTCATCCTCTGATGCCCATTTAGGCAGATTCCCCATGGATATGACCATGGATATCTCCATGCTGTAATAAACATGGAGATGTGTATATCTCTTCAATATACTAATTCCCGTCCCTTTGGGTATATACAGTCTAGTGAGATTGAGGATCATATAGCAGTTAATTTTTATTTTCCAGATTTCCGTACTGTCTCCAATAACGGAATTTTACATGTTCTCTCTTTTATTTTCTTTGTTCAAATTCTTGTCATAATTGTTTTCTCTTATATTTTTGGTAATAGCCGTTCTAGCAAATATAAGGCAAGATCTCATTGTGGTTTTAGTTTGCATTGCTCTGGTGACAAGGACGGCTGAACTTTCTTCACACATCTATAGGCCATTTATATATTTTCTCTTAAAAAATGTCCATTCGGGGCCTTTCTCCATTTTTAATAGGATTTCCTCCCTTGCTATTGGGTTGTGTAAATTCTTTTTAAAAAATATTTTTATTATTTTATTTTTTGCGTGTAAGTTTGTTGCCTCCATGTATGTAAGTGCACTCCTGTCATAAAATGCCCACGGAAGTCTGAAGAGAGTGTCGGATCCCCTGGAATTGGAGTTACAGAGAGTTGTTAGCCACTAGGTGGATGCTGGGTTCTCTGCAAGAGCAGCCAGTGCTCTTAATCACTGAGCCATCTCTCGGCCTCTGTTTGAATCCTTAACATACTAGAATATTAACCCTTTACTAGATGTCACTAGATGTATGGGTCGTGAGTACCTTCTCCCATGGTATCAGTTGATTGTCTCTTGACTTAGTTGTTTCCTTTGCGTAAACATTTTACTTTGAAACAAACTTAACTGTCCATGTTTATTCTGCTGCTTGTACTTCAGGAATCGAAAATTCACCCAAAACTTCTCCTCCAAACCAATGTCAGGAGATTTTTCTCCTACATTTTTGTCTAGCAATTTTATAGTTTCAAGTCTTATGTTTAATTGTTTAATATATAATCAACATACAGAAATTAATAGTGCTTGTGTACACAAATAACAAATTACCCAAGAACAAACATCAAGAAAACAACCTCATTTACAGCATTATTTTTAAATACTTATGAATAAATTTAATTGGAGTTGAAAGATCTGGACACTGAAACTGCAAAACGTTGAAAAAAGAAAATAAAGATGCTATAAGTGGAAAGATATCCCATGTCCACGGACTGAAAGCATTAATATTGTTAAAACCTCTGTCCTGGGGGTGGGGATGATAGCAAGATGGCAGGATTCTCCTGCTCTGTTTCTCCCCCATGGAAATCCAACCTGCAGCTCTGCACAGCAGAGGTTGCCTCCTGAATAGCCTGCACACCGCAGTGTGGGGAGGTGAAGAGAGGGGGCTTCATTTGACCACACTGCCAGTGCCCGAAACTCTGAACACAAAGGATCCCGTAAGACCCATAGTTTCTAGAGAAGAAGGCAGGAGTTGGGGGTGAGCATTAGGCTTTTTCACTGTTCTGGGACCCTTTAAAGAGCCACTCTTCTTTTCTTGCTCCACAGGAGAGGTGTCAGCAGTGCTAGCCACAAGAGTGGAGAGATGGTTAGAAACAAGGAAGGAGTGGGGCGGGGCTACAGGGACCAGCAAAGGGATCCTGGAGGTTGCGCTTCCTTCCAACCAGCAGAGGTGTGCCACCAGGACAGGAGCCCACAACAGCACTGCGAGGCTCCAGACATCAAAGATGAAAAGAATAGAGTAGGAGGAGCGTTAAATTAATCACATCCAAGGGAGTCTTAGGCGGCTATCAGATTTCTCAGCAGAAGCCCGTGATCTAGGAGGATGGAGGGTGATCTATTCAAAGGGTTCAAGGAAGAACACAGCGAACCAAGACTACTTCATTCACGGGTCACACCGTCTTTCAAAAGTCAGTAAGAAAGTTTAAAAAACAAAAGCTAAAGCTTACAACCACTAGACTTGTTCTACAGGAATTGCTAAAGAAGTCTGAGTTGAAACAAAAGACTATTATTATCTAATAACATAAAACATACAAAATTTAAAGAACTTACTAGGTATAAGCAGTACATAGGCATTCAGAATACTGAATATGGTGTTCAAAACAATTTTATACTTCTACGTGAGTTAAGAAGAAATCATTATTTAAAGTAAGCTACAGTAAATTGTTGAAGGCTACAAAATTCCTGAATGATAAAACATAAAGGTGAGACAGAATTTTTGTGACTAAAGTTAAGCTGCAGTGGGCTGGTGAGATGGTTCAGTGTGCAAAGGTGCCGGAAGACCTGGGCTGCATTCCCAGGACCCACATGACAGAATGAAGGAACTGTTGACTCCGAAAGTTGTCCTCGTCTCCACATCAGCACCATGGCGCACGCGCGCGCGCGCACACACACACAGACAGACACCAAACGCAAACAAATGAATACATGTAATTAAAATTTTCAAAATTAAATTCCTTTTAAATTTAGCTGTCATCAGCTTAAAATAGTCTGCACTAAGTTTAACGTTTTATATAAGTTTTATGGTAACCACAAAGCCAAAACTTACAGTACAAGAAAAATTATGTATAAAAAGAAAGAATTCAAAGCAGACCATGAAAAGTTATTTACTGCTGACGGAGCTGGAAACTGGTAGAGCCATATGAAAATCAAGATGGCGATTTCTCAAAAAAACAAACATAAAAACCCTAAAAGCATATCTTATTTTTCCCAAGCAGATCCTTCTATCAACCCCCGTGCTTAAGATCTATATCAAACATGTCTTTTAATAAACTCCAATTCTGTTTCATACTGGCTTGTTCTGAAATTCTTTCTGCATTAGGGCAGGACCCCTGGTTTTGCCTACATGGAGGTTCCTGGGCAGAAAAACAGTTCAGGCTACTGAAGGTGTCAGAGAGATGTGCCTTCACTCTGACCACCCTGGCAAAATGGAAACAGAACATGTTCCACCCCAGAGCCCAGTTACTTCTCCCAAGCATGAGTCAACTCCAAGTGCGCTCAGGAAGGCTCCATGCTAGTCCTGAAGAGAAAACTGACCTGACTGCTTCCAATGAGGATTGCATGCCCTAATCACACATACTTCCTCTAGACCAGGAAGTGGTTCATCTGCACTCAAGTTCCAGGTGAACCTTCTCAGTAGGTCTATTACTAATGTGACAAGTAAATAACAGACAAGGATCAACACCACCATCCTTTGCAACATGTGACTGATGCTGTGAAGGGCAGCTGAGTCCTCCATGGGGAGGGTGACATGAGCAGCCCCAAATGGCAGCTGGTGAAAAGGTGGATTCCGGGGGTGCATAGTACTCGGTTTTCTTACTGCTGGGTTTCAGTTGCATAGATTTGGATTGACAACACTCCTTTCTTCATAACACAGTCTCACTATTTGTTCACACTAAGTCTTCTTGATGAATGAATTTTTCAGCCTATGTGCCTATCCAATATTTAAATCTCAAACAGAAAATCCACCACCCAGCGTGAAAATGCAAACTTTGACAGATTACATGTATCTGTGCAATTAACCTTTAACCCGTCTGTCCTGCCTGTCTTATCTGATGTACCCATGATCCTAAATCTTGTATTATAATTCCTGTATTTCTTTTTTGTCTATTTTATCCATTTTTACTTATTCCTAAAATTGCTACTTTTAATTTTTTTTATTCTTAAAACAAATTTCTTATGGTATTTTTTATAAACCAAAATACTGAGTACCTAATTCCACATGTTTGGACAAACATAACTACATGTAAATATGGAGGGCAGCTCTACTCCTGAAAACACTCAGTGCCTACATAGTGAGTGCCTATGTCAGCTCTTGGCAATTACTGTTCTGTTTCAGTGTTTATAGTTTTCCTTTCCAGAATGTCATGTAGTTGGAAACATAACTATGCGGCTCTTAAAGTCTGGCTTTTATCCTTTGCAGTGCTGGCTTGAGAGTCATCCCCATTGCTTCATGTATTAAGAGTTCTTTCCTTCTTTATCGATAAACAGCATTCCATTGCACATATATAAGGCTTTTTTCCTTAATCCATTCACCAGTCAAGGGTTATGTAAGATGCTTTGAGCTTGGAGTAATTATGAATAAAATAATTATGAATAAAATACACATCAGCTCTGAGCTTGCCTATGAATGCAAATTTTATTTCCCTTGAATGAATCCTAAGGAATTGAATTTCTAAAGCAAAAGGCAAATTTATGTTTAATTTTAAAGAGACTTTTAAAGAAACTGCCAATGTGGTTGTACGATTTCGCCTTCCTACCAGCAGTGACTGGGTTCAAGCCGCTCCACGCCCTCAACAGCGTTATGTCAGGCATTTGATTTTAGTCATTCCAATGTGTGGGGAATAGTGTGTCATTTTGCTTTTAATTTGCATTTTCATAATGAGTAATGATGTGGAACTAATTTTTCATCCATGTATCTTCTTTGTTGAAGTATTTGTCTAAATATTTTCCCATTTTTATCAGATTGTTCATTGATTGGTTGATTTTATGCATTTTAAAACATTTCCAACACAAGTCCTTAATCAGAATGTGTTTTGCAAAGCTTTCTCCAAGTCTGTTATTTTCATTGTATTTTCTTAGCAATATCTTTTGCAAAGCTTTAATTTTTGCTTCATTTTGTTTTGTTCTTTAAGTCAATCTCAGTATGTAGCCTAGGCTGACCTCAAACTCATGATCCTTCTGCCTCAGCCTCCTGGGTGCTGGGACTACAGGTGTGTGGCATCGTACCCAACTCAGAAGTTTCAATTTTTGTGAAGTACAATATTTTTTGAGTTGTGCTTGTTTGTCATATGTTAAAAATTATCCTAATAAATTGCATGACTAAAGTCACAAAGCTTTTTGCCTTACATTTTATTCTAGAAGTTTTATATTTTTTTGTACACATTTATCTATCTTTTAATTATATTTAGGCCCTCTCCCCTATCTGCCCCCTCCCACTCACCAGTTTCATGCATCCTGTCATGTATGTTAGTGCCTATCGAGTCAATTTTGTTTCCACACTTTTTGCATATACACTGTTAAACATGTTTTATTTAACGTATGGATGCCCAATTGTTTCAGTGTTTTTTTTAATAAGTACGCTTTCTTCAATAAATTGCCTTTGTATTTTTGTTGAAAATGTATTCTGAGGCCAGGCGTGGTGGCACTCACCTTTAATCCCGCACTTGAGAGGCAGAGGCAGGTGGGTCTCTGTGAGACTGAGGCTAGCCTCTGCACTTATTGAAATGATCCCATGTTTTTAGCTACCCTTTAGTCTGGTGTGGATGCAGCCCTGTCTTAGCTATTCTGGACTTTTTAGAATTGATGTCCTGCCTGAATTTTTCTACATTAATGAAAAAGAACATTTTTTAGAAATTGTATTTTCTGCAACGTATTATAATGTAATATACAAGATGGGATCACAATAACTGTACTTTCCTAAATCACAGAAGCTGAAAATGACCAATAATTCAAGTAGTCACAAATAATCCCCATGTGATGGCCTGGAACCGACAAAAGAACATGTCACATGGTCACAGAAGCCAGTCAAGCAGCTCTGGTGACACAGTTTCCTGGCTCAGCCTCTCCTGCCCCAGCTCACAGCTTCCATGTCCACCCAGCTCAGAGGGATTAAGAAGCATCCTCTCCTTGCTGAGTCACCCAGAAACCTTGGGATCGATGTTGCTCTGCAGTTGTTGCCTCATGACTCAAAATTAAGCTTATTTAAATCAAAAGCAACCCATCGCATCACACAAAACCTATAACTTCTCTTTTATATACATTATAACTGTAATTCATCACGGTATATTTCCTGTTGGCTGGATCATAAGGATCCCTGTGAGGGCCAGCTGGGTGTCTTATTTATAGCTGTATCCTGAGTGTTAAGGACAGCACTGGTATTCAGTATTGTTGAAGATGGGAACTGGGTGTTAATAACTCAAGCAAGAAGAAATTCAAGAGAAAGAGCCAATGATAGCCATTGGGAAGGAGTAGGTTGTGTTTGTAGGAGGGAAAATAGTGGGTGATAGTCCCTTCCTGATCACATGGGAGGTCAGACCAGGCCACCGTGTGCTGTTAACATCACCTCTATTAGGCTGACCTCTTTTCCCTGAGAGATCGTCTATATTAAGGCATGCCTGAAGAGCTACAGTGGGATACAAGCTGTAAACCAGGAGTCCTCAGGAAGCCATCAGTGAGCATTACCCAAGGCTTGCCCTCCCCATGCAGCTGAGAAGAACAGAAATGTATTTTCAGCTCTTCTCTTCCTGTCTGTCCTCAGTACTGAGTCTTCATGGAAGACAGCCTCTGTACTATTCACTGTAGATTCTCCCTTCCCTTCTAGTACCTAGTTATAGACTCTCAACAACGTACAAGAAATGGTTCATTGAGCCGGGCATGGTGGCGCATGCCTGTAGTCCCAGCACTTGGGAGGCAGAGGCAGGCAGATCTCTGTGAGTTCAAGGCCAGCCTGATCTACATAGTGAGTTCCAGGACAGCTGGGGCCACAGGGAAACCTTGCTTCAAAAAGACAAAAAAAAAAAAAAAAAAAAAAAAAAAAAGAAAGAAAGAAAGAAAAAGAAACAGTTCTCAAAATTAAAATGAGACTGAGACTAAAAACAGAGCCCCAAGGGGACCAAAAGCTTTGTTCTAGAGAAACATTCATGTTGGAATTCCTTCCCCAGCTCCTCCTCCACTACCTCTGCCCTGAGCTACCCTCCCAAGTCACCACAAGTCCTTTCCTAAAACGATCATGAAATAACTAATGGATCTGAGCATGGGTGAGTTTTGGAATGAAGTGAGGAAAACACAATTGTCTAGATCATTCTATAGATTTTAATGACCATAAAAAGACACATTATCTATAGTTCAAAATCCAAATTATGATTTTCTTTGAACATAGCTTGATAACCCTATAATTTAAATAGTCAGATTTTGGCTTACATGAATTTACTAAACTCAAACAGAAGACACTTTTACCTGAATAATTCACTTACTTATCTATTAAATACCAACTTGCTGCTGTTCATTAAGGCTCAGAAATACCATGCTCCCTCCTAGAAACCAAAGAGATCATGCAAGGAGCTTTCATCAAACAAGACCCAACATGCCCCATCACTTCCCAGGTGCTTCACTGCTGGAGCTAAGGGGAGTCTCACAGATCACATCTGAACACTATGGTCTTTGAGCAGTCTAGGGACTTACGGCACATTACAGTATTTATCATTTAAGATTGTTCTATGATTTTCTTGTGTGGGGGATGGGGAGAGTGTGTGTAGAAGTCACTCATAATTATACTCAGGGAAGTGTGTGAGACAGATTGTATACCCCAAGGCATGTGACCCAAAAGAAAGGACAGCAGGAGGAGGGAAGGTAGGCGGTTGGGAGACCTGTGGCAGGTATGGACAGTCTTCCTTCTTCCCAGTTCAGTGATTAGTTGGACTTTATGGAAGTACCAGGAAAAGGCTGAGAACCTAGGCCTGGGTATGTGCGGTGACACCTCCTCTAGTTGTGAAAGCAGAAGTGACATCAGGTGCCAGTGCCCAAGTGACATCATCAACTGCATAGGATAAAAAGGCTCTTGTCCGAGGCTCCTCATCCACAGCATCATCTGGCACACTTCTCCCTCCTCTCTGCATCTAGTGAGTATCCCGCGAGAAGCTGGAAGGGACTCTTAAGATCACAATGAGTGAGGGAAAGGGTGAAGTCTGGAATAAAGACCTAGACACAAAATGCAATGGCCGAAGTGACAGAAGGAGAGAACCCCAAGGGGTTGACAAGGATTCTGTGACTGCAAAGGCCACAGGAGCTCAGAATCCACTTCCTACAACCTATCCTCTTTCTCTTCGGGTGTGCATGCATTTCCTGTGACATCCATCCTCCAGGATGCTTTTCCCAAATAGACCCAGATTGTGTCTAACGCTCCTGGGTGGAAAAGAGAGTGGGAGGCACCTGGCCTGAGTCCACCAATTCCAGCCACATGGGCTTCCCCCGCACTCCCTGCGGTTCTTGGTCCAGAAAGGAGACACCACACCGTAAGAGGGGAGGCAACCTTGACTGTGGATTCCTGACTGTTCTTTTCTTTTGCCCAGGCTCACAGACTCCTGCCGAGATGTCCTGCCAGCAGAGCCAGAAGCAGTGCCAGCCGCCTCCCAAGTGCCCCTCACCCAAGTGCCCCCCGAAGAGCACAGCACAGTGTCTGCCTGCAGCCTCCTCCTGCTGTGCTACAAGCTCTGGGGGTTGCAGTGGCCTTGGCGGCTCTGAGGGCGGCTGCTGCCTGAGCCACCACAGGCGCAGGTCCCACCGATGCAGGCGCCGGAGTTCCAGTTCCTGTGACCATGGTCAGCAGTCTGGGGGCTCTGGTTGTGGTCACAGCTCTGGGGGCTGCTGCTGACCTGAAGCCTCATGCTGAGATAAGAGAGTTTAAAGGAAACAAGAATCTCAGAGGCCAAGGAAAGCCCCAGTCTGGCTCAACCTTTTCCAGAGGCCCTGCTCTGGCTCTAACACGCTGGGCTTGGCATGTTCCTGTTGGAGGTTCCCAAGCTGTCTTGGACACCTCTCCGTCTGTCTGATGACCAGGGTCTCACGGTCCTCAGCCTGCTGAGGAGCGGTAGTGCCTGTTTCTGATCCTGTCCAAAAATAAACTTCTTGCCCCCATTTCCACTGGTGTCGCACTGTCATTGCACTGTCCCTCCCCATGTGGCGAGTGTGCCCCTCCCTTCTTCCCCTCAGATCCAGAACTCTAAACTCTAGATTAAATCCAGAATCCAGCCACTGAAGAAGTAGAGGTCTATGCAAGGAAAATGCTGGCAATTGGTCAAGTCAGACTGAGGCCTCTGAGGAATAACACACCCTGTGAAATGTGGGGTACATACTCATCTACAGTGGCCACCCCAGTCTACTATGAGGAGCTACTGTTTGCTTCTGAAGAGAAATGTGTAACATCCAATTAAGAAACAATGGTTTGATACTAGATAATTTTTCAAATGGGCAAAATAACCCATTTATTTTTAACTAGTAGAAATGTGACTTTCCAAAGAGCATATGGAAATATTTGGGGACATTTTTACCTTCCAAAATGGGCCTCAGAATCAGGGAGATGAAAATTAGAGCCACTTTGTTGTCCATCTCTCTCAGTCACAGTGGCTATGATCAAGAAAATAAATGACAACAAATGCTGGTAAGGACGTGGGGAAAGAGGAACCCATGTCCACTGCTGGTAGAAGTGTAAGCTAGTGCAGCCACTTTGTAAATCACTGTGAGAGTTCCTCAAAAAATCAATAGAACTCCCATACGACTCACTATGCCTCTCTTGGGTATGTAACCAAAGGCTGATATCCTACCATGGAGATCCTCACACGTCCTTGTTCACAACAGAAAGGAGATGGAACCAGCCTAGACGCCCATCAACAGAAGAATGGCTAGTGGAGACATGGCATATACACAGTGGAACCTTATTCAGCTATAAAGAAAGATGAAACTGTGAAATTTGCGAGGAAATAGATGGATCTGGAAAGTATATTAAGTAAGGTCACCTAGACTCAGAAAGCCAAAAACCACACGTTCTCTCATATTCAAACTTTCAATGTTTCTGTGTATGTACGTATGTTTGTATGTATACAAAGTAGGGTGTTCGTGAATGGGTATAGACTATGAAAGTATATAGGAGACCCTAAGAGAGGAACATGAGGCAGTGAGGGGAAAAGAAGGCTACTTGGGGATGAGAGGCACAGGGAAGGACAGGGAATGGGGGAGGAGGAAAGGGAAGTAAACAAATTTTGTTTAGAAAAATGCCATAATTACACCTAATTCTTTGTATGCTAATAAGAAATTAAAAATTAAAAAAATACCTTGGGCTTAGGAAGACTGCTTCTGGCATTTAGTGGATAGAAGCCAGAGGTGTCCTTAAACATCGTACAAAACACAGGGCAATCACCACAGGACGGAGATGGCCATTCCATAATACCAGTAACCCTGAAAACCCTCCAAGTACAGGAAAGGGGTAAATAAAAAATGGCTTAGGAAAAACAGAAAATTGATCTGATGAAACTCTAAGCGAGAGGTCAAGGAGAAATGAAGTTAAAAATGCAATATGTTAGAGGGATGGATGGATGCATGTGAAGAAACTGGATGGCCCAGGATAGGGACTGTAGTCAGGAAAGAGAGAGGGGACTAAGAGGTAGAACTCAGATTCTGAACTCATATAACTAACTGTATGATCAAAAACTAAGCAAAACTTATCACGTGTTAGGAACCCCCTCAGTGATGGATATGGATGCATTTAATTCTGTAATCTTTTCTATAAATTTTATTATTTTTACCTTATGTGTATGCGTGTATTGCCTGCATGTAAGTAACTGCACCTGTGTTGTGTAATGCCTGCGTAGGACAGAAGAGGCTGTCGGATGCCCTGGAACTGGAGTTACGGACAATTCTCAGGTGCCATGGGGGTGCTGGGATTCAAAACCGGGTCTTCTTCAAAAAGAGTGTTCTTAACCTCTGTGCTCTTTCCAGCCCCTAATTCTGTAATCTTTAATTTCTTTTAAAAGCCACACATTTTACAAATGGAGACACTGTTTTGTCCCAGAACACACAGCCCACCCTTATGACTTTTCAAGAGATCTTCAGAAACAAGTCTTTTCCACTTAGCGTTTAGTTTTTTTTATTTTTTAATTTTTTAACCTTCAGAACTAAGAACCTCACATATAAATCAAACCCGCTTTTAAAAGTTTTTCCCCTACATTTGGAACCTAAAATGTGACACTCAATTGGCCCCTCAACTGCAATCATCTTCCCCATTTATCTGCCAGATTCTAAAAACCCTGGTGGAAAAGGGGGTGCCACCAAACCCATTCTGAAGGCTCCCCAGATAAGCCAGAGGCACACCACAGAATCTGAAGCACTTTTCAGGTATGGCAGAACGTACCACGTGTTAGGAACCCCCCCAGTGATGGATATAGATGCATTTAATTCTGAATCAATCAGTTTAGCGGTTATTTGAGTTTTCAAAGCAATGCTGGTAGTTGTGAAACTATTTTTGCCCCAACACTGAGGAGTTAAGAGTTTTTCACCCATTCTGAAGGCTCCCCAGATAAGCCAGAGGCACACCACAGAATCTGAACCAATTTTCAGGTATGGCAGAACGTACCACGTGTTAGGAACCCCCCCCCCCAGTGATGGATATGGATTCATTTAATTCTGAATCGATCAGTTTAGCGGTTATTTGAGTTTTAAAAGCAATGCTAGTAGTTGTGAAACTATTTTTGCCCCAACACTGAGGAGTTAAGAGTTTTTTCAAAATCTTTAAAGTATGGGCTGGAGAGATGGCTCAGAGAGTAAAGAGCACTGGCTGCTCTTGCAGAGGTCCCAGGTCCAATTCCCAGCACCTACATAGCAGCTAACAACTGTGTGCAACTCCATTTCCAGAGGACCTAACACCCTCTCTGACTTCAGCCAGCACTACATGATGTGGGTGCGCCTACACATATGCATATTCACTCATACACATGAAACAAAAATAATAAATAAAATATATTTTTAAACCTTTGGAATTTAATGAATGAAAGAGTTACCGAAGAGTGGGAGGAGACACATCTAACCAGGTCTGAGCCACTGTCTACTTCAACACAACTCATCCAAGTGAAAACCACAACTGCTGTGCTTGAGGGCTCTCATCACAAGCTGCTTGTCACTCAAAACTCGAGAAACTCTTGGGTATCACCCTACCATGGGCCAGAAACACTGTCAAGCTCTAAAAATATAACTCAAAGATGTTCAGAATAAAGAAGGTGGGCTGGGAAATCAGAGCTGCCACCGTGTGTATGTGGTCCCGCTGTATGGTCCAAGAGCCACAAATCCCAGAACCAATGGGCTGAACCACTCCGCTGGTCAAGAAACTAAAGACCACCGTGTGAAATATTGGTTGTGATTCATGTTCTAAATGTTGATTAAGCATCTGTAATGTTAAAATGCAAGAGAAAAATTCTGTATAGCCAATTGTAACTTCCATGGGCACAAGCACATTGCATCAACTGTGCTGTCAGAGGGACACAAAATTACCACCATGCTTGTTTGTTGTTATTCACCTTCTGTCACTTAGAGCTCACCTTTCATCTAAATTCCCTCTGGCATCCCAACCGAGATGAGTTAGAGTCTTCTCTGACATATGCCTGAAACTCAGAAATATAAGAGTGACAGACTTGCACATGCTCATCAGATACGGCTTAGGTTTTGAGTCTCATATCTGTTAACAATTGTGTTTTCACTACCCTGTAGCCTTTTCTGTCCTCAAACACTGCATCTTAAGAGAGTCACCACATAAAGAAATCAGGAAACATCCAAGACCGCTGGAATCCCGAATTAGACTTTTAGTGAACATGTCATTCTGGCCCCTACTATGTACCCCATTTTGCCCTCAGACATCATCTTCATCTGTCCCTTCTCTTCTATGAGGGCCTCCCTGCTTCCTGGGTTTCATGAGTTCCTCTCAGTGCCCCAGGACTGGCTGTCACCTGGATGGGGTGGAGCCCCTTATCCCACTGTTCCTGCTGTATGTGCAGCACCATCAGCTCTGACAGGCCGCTGAGCTCATCTTAACTACTCCCAAATGACACTAAAGGACAACATCTGAACACATGAAGCAACAGAAGACTGATGATACCCATGAGCTCTTGCCTAAGCCTGGGGAGTCCCCACATGTTTACCACTACTCTTGTCACAGTGACTTGAGTACCTGTCTGCCTGCCCCACTACTCCGTGAAGATGATACATCCAGGACTGTATCATATTCCTTTATGATTAGAGGTGTTTATAACCCCATGGGTTATATGTCTATCACAATACCTGACTGCAATATGTCTGACTTTTTTTAAGAGTTACAGAAAATAAAGGAAAACAGTAGTTAAAAAAGGAAAAGGAGATGGAAGACGGCAAGCTCAGAGCCAAGTTGAAGAACAAGTACTTGGAGTCCAGGGCGTATCTCATAGGAAATTTTGTTCTTTCTTTACCCTCACCATCGCTGTCCTACCAACCAGACCCTGAGCCTACGAACAAGAAAAACAGACAAGGTCTGTGGGTTTGAATTCCATCACACCTACATCTTTGTCTAAGGTTTCATTTAGATTCTTTGAGTGCCAACCATCGGTTATTAAGGTGCTCTCATGACAGGTCCAGGCCCTTGGGTCTCCGGGTGTCACAGATAGGTAAGGAGTTGCACGCAAGAATTTTGGAGAGGGTAGAAGTAGAAGTGACAGAAGACCCCCAGCTCCTGACTGGCTTGAGACTAGTAACCCACAGCAAGGAATTTTTTTTCTGTGGTCTAGACAACAGTAAGCCCAGGAAATCCTATTCTCCAAGTCCAGTTCTTGCTCTTCCTCATATGACGTGATCATCTCA